ACCAGTATATCCTGGGGTGCCCATGAACCTCTGGGTTATGGATGCCAATTTTTAATGGAAAAAGGGAATTGTTGAACTTTGCATATATTTGCATGTTGGCATTCCAGATACATAAGAGGCATGGCCTGATACATTGACAGTGTTGATCAAAATACTGCTCTTATTGGAAAACGTATTAGAAAATATTCATTGGAATAAATGTGCTTTTTGCCGAATTAACCGAATACTATTTTGGTGAGATTAATATCAAAAGTTTGCAGCTCAAATGTTAGGATCCATTTAATATGATAGAACATCTGTTGGTGACTGTAGATAAGTGCTAACATGGTTCTCAAGGCAGCTACACTAAGCAGCTGACATATGCAGGTCTTTTTTTCAGAGGGAACTCACAGGAGTTCAGTTCTGGCATCTCTCAGGCGGACGCCATTGCTATTCTAAGAGAACAAGGGAGGTGTTAGTTGGTGAGTTCTTTTTCTAGAAAAAATAGCACAAATGTATTTTCTAGATTAAACGATTTGCAAATTGCAGTCAAGGTGAAGATACTCCTGTGCATCTTTCTCATATGACATCCAATACCCCACAGTATTGGTGTCCTGGTTGTGGTAGCACCACTCCAATCCCTGCCCAGTTGTGCACAGGATTCCAGGTGTCTTGGCCCTCAACCAGGGTCTGTGCTGCTTTGGGGAATTGAGGACGTGGCGGAGGCTGTTGTAACTTTAAGAAATACTATTTATTCACATATTCACATCTGAATTTAGATGGTGGGAGTCCAGATATTGCAGCATGGTCGCCTCGAGAGGGGCTCGCTCCCCGATACAGTGCAGTCTAATTCATATCTACCGGCTTGCCTGCAGCCAGCCAGCCAGGATCATTCTGCCTTTTCTCAGCTATCCCAAACCTTGAGCCATCATCCCCAGTTACCCTGGTAGCCTCAGGGCAGGTGGGAAGGGCAGTTACCTTGCATTGCCAATGGCCCTCAGTGGCCCTGTATTGTTTCTTAATGGCCCTAGCTAGGCCAGATTGTTTTCTGCCTAGGCTAGCCCAGGAATTCATCCACAGCTGTTGTTTTCCCTTCATATCCCAAATAATCAAAATCCTACCATTTATTAATTTCTAGCTGCCCCCCACCAGCCTATAACAATATATAGATAGCTAAGAATAGGTGTTGCCATCCACTTAAAGGCTTCCTGGTGTGCAGAAGTGTGTACTACCCCCAGAATCGGAGGCACTTTGCCTCTGAGTACTGGTTACCGTGGAACAACAGTGAGAGATGGCTGTGGGACATTTGTCCTGCTTGCGTGCCTCCCATAGATACACAGGTTCTCTTAGTCTGACAATGTACGATATAGGATACTGGTTTAGATGGGGTTTTGGACTAATTCAGAAGGGTTCTTATTCCATTCTTAGTCTTACTATGCTAGAAGAGAAAGCAATAAGTGGACCAGTTGCAGTTCCCATCTGCTTGACTTTCCTTGCTGGTTGATGGTATTTAAGCTTTTTAAACAGAGTCTTCTGGTTGCTGTGCATTGGGTCAGAGCCAGAGCGATCGATCTCGAGGTTGCATTTAGAGCAGCTAAAAAGTAGAACATGTAATGTTAGTCAGCAATTTTAAGAAGTGCAGAATTCAGCAACACTCACCAGGCCAATAGTACATGAAGACTTTCCTCTTGGCTTTCATCATAGTGACCCACAAGGGCTCTGATCCATTCCACCAAAGAGGCAGCAGGCTCTCTTGATTCACGCCGATATCAAAAGACATGTTTGTACTTGCATCCCACATGTAGTTCCCAGTCATTTGATGGACATTGCAGTGGCGACCTAGAAGGTGAGAGGATTGCTTTATATCCTCACTTCTCAGTTACGTTTAGCAGTCATAACACCCCCATACCCATTTCAAGTCCCCGTGGAAGCAGAATAAAGTCTCACTTCTCTCTCTTAGACTTAGAGGGCACTAGATAATGAATTACTCCAGCTCAAATCTTGCAAATAAGTAATGAATGTAAAGATGCAGTTTTGAAGAAAAGTATATATTATTGCGCACCCCCAGAAGAGCTGCAGAACTCATGCTCCCTCCCTAGTATGGATGAATGAAATTACTGGTAAAACGTCATCAAGTTCTATTGTCATAAACCACCTAGATTGGCATTTGATATAATGCAAAATAGGGAGAGGAAAGTTGAAGCTGTATTGACTTAGTATGAAGAAGAAGATGCAAAGAGAAATTTCATGAGTTCTTCGCTTGCAGATTGTGGGGCAGATGTACATGTCAGTGTGCTCAAATGGAACGAGCTGTCAGTCTTGCCCCTCCCCTAATGATGAAGATGGGCTGCCCACCTTTTACTGTTTTTATTTTAAGGGTCACCTAAGCAAGCACCTGTTCTCTACTGCTCCTTCTTGTGCAATGGAAACATTATAAGAATAATGGCAAACTTATTCAAGGGATGAGTGTGTAACATGCAGATTAAAAATAATAATAATGGCAGTGAACCCTATTTAGAAAAAGTAAATTGGATTGAAACCAATGTCAATGCTTTTCTTCCCATGTATGAGCAATCCTTTGACATTTAAGACCTCAGATCTCTTGCTGCTACAGAGCACCTATGGAAATGTAAGTTATCTTAAAAATCATACCGCAGAATGAAACTAGAATCCAAGCAGTAAAATGTAAATATAAAACCCAATTATGATTTGGGCAGGGGGAGTAGTAGCAGGCATCACGTATTTCTCCCAAACATGATGGAACGGAACAGGAATGTTTTCAATAATTTTGTTCCATTTAACAAAGATATTACATAGCTGAATGTTCTACATCTACGTGGAGAAGTCATTACTCCATAAGCCTCACCTCTATCTCGACAAATTTCTGTCAGTTGCAAAGCAGGGATGATTCATCTGTTGTGGGGCTTTACATGTGGCATAGTGTTTGTCACCTGATTGTTTAAGCCTTTATAGGTAAGCCCTAACAGCTTTCTAAATAAATACCAGCACCTTCTGCCAAGCTTGGGTGCAAACTGGCAAATGCTGGAAAGGAAAGAAAGATTATGCAAGGTTGACCCAAGACAGTTTGCTGTCTGAAATCCTGCAGGTGATCACAAACAAGTTGAGATGCACAGCATCAAAGACTTGTCAAATAATTTTCCCACCTAAGGCAAAAAAAACAACAACAAAAAAATCCCATAAGTGCTTCTACCTGTCCCCAGAAGTAATATAAAAAATAAATAACTATTTTCTGCCCTTCAGGATACCCAAAATCAACTGCCTGAGGTGGCTTCCTCACCCATCCTAATGGTAGGGCTGAATCTGCCAGAAAGCTGTAATATCTGAACAGTTTTCAAGGCCAGTCCCATGTAATAGATTTGTCACCAGATAGCGAACAAATTATCATATTCTCTTCCCCCCCAGTTTCTTTCATAATTAAGTATTAACTGGACTCTTTTTAGGTCGTAACAGATGTATTCTTGAAGATTTAGGTAGGCAAAAATTACTGTGCAATAAATTGCTATGCAAAACATTGTTAACAGTAATAACTGGCTATTCATAACCTCCCTTGCTGTATTTAACTACCCATTGTTGTGGATCACTGTTTTCGTAGACACAGAGGAGGCATTGTAGCTGATTAAAACCATATAATAACAATACTTGATATTTTTCTTTTCTTTTCAGAGCATTTCACATCCCTGTAAGATGGGTAACTATCATTATCCTTATAATAAATGCAGTATTTTATTGCAGGTGATAATAAAAAAATGTTTTAAACAAGGAAACACAGTTGGAGGGCTGAGACGATAAGAATTTCCCTAAGCCTTCCCCATCTCTCTATGAAAATTTTTGTGTTTTCAGGAGTACTTGTGAGGTTCATGGAAGTGATCACAGAAGCTAGCTGTGTGATTTGTAGCATAGTAAGTACAGTATGTTGAAATGAGTGGTGTAATCACCACTCCGTTCTGGATTATCCCTTTTACTTTTTAGCATTTGTTATGTTATGTTTAGCATTTGTTATTGTTATGTACGGGACGCGGGTGGCGCTGTGGGCAAAAGCCTCAGCGCCTAGGGCTTGCCGATCGAAAGGTCGGCGGTTCGAATCCCCGTGGCGGGGTGCGCTCCTGTTGCTCGGTCCCAGCGCCTGCCAACCTAGCAGTTCGAAAGCACCTCTGGGTGCAAGTAGATAAATAGGTACCGCTTACTGGCGGGAAGGTAAACGGTGTTTCCGTGTGCTGCGCTGGCTCGCCAGATGCGGCTTTGTCACGCTGGCCACGTGACCCGGAAGTGTCTCCGGACAGCGCTGGCCCCCGGCCTCTTAAGTGAGATGGGCGCACAACCCTAGAGTCTGTCAAGACTGGCCCGTACGGGCAGGGGTACCTTTACCTTTTATTGTTATGTACTGAAGCTCTCACCCTAGGCCAGCAGGGGGATACTGTAGATAGTTTTCACTCAGGTCCACATATGCAAATAAGGGATCGAAAGTGACGTTCAGTGATTGGATAGTTACGGAAAATGGTTACTGTTGCGTTCTAGTGGAGCTCTATATAAGCAGGCTGGCTGAACCCTTCAGTTCAGTTCTGTCCTGGCCTGCGAATAAACAAGAGCTGCTTGAAGAATCGCTGTGTCGTCTGATATGTTCACCCACAACTTACCGTAACAGTTATCATACTTTGTTATGTTCTATATGGGAATAAGACCTCAAATATGTAGGAATCAGCTTGCTGCAGTTGATCTGACCTTCTGTCAACAGTTGCCATGTCTTTCTACAATTGACCAAAAATTTCACAACAACTTTCTAAACCAGGGGTAGGCAACCTAATGGCTGGATGTGGCCCAATTGCCTTCTCAATCCGGCCCATGGACGGTCTAGGAATCAGTGTGTGTTTACATGAGTAGAATGTGTGCTTTTATTTAAAATGCATCTCTGGGTTATTTATGGGGCATAGGAATTCATTCATATATTTTTTTCAAAATATAGTCTGGCCCCCCACATGGTCTGAGGGACGGTGGACCGGCCCACGGCTGAAAAAGGTTGCTGACCCCTGTTCTAAACCATCGGGGGGGGAAAGAATCCCACTGGAGCATCCCATCACCACATTCCCTATCTAACTTCAGCACCAACAGTCTCTCCTTGCTCTTAGAAAAGTACTTTTTCACGCATCTTCCTGCTGCTGTAACCTTCCTGATTACACTTCATTGCCTCTGACAAGCTTCACATGCCAGGGAGTTCCCGTCTTCTAGCATCAGTCAGCCCAGATGTAATGCAGCGTAGGTTAAAGAGCTATTGACCCCCTTATAGAAAACAGGGGAAAGTACTTCCATATTACTTTCTGTATAGCACGTCGGGTCTCTGGATGCTTGCCCCGCTCAAAACTGTTCATTTGCTGCTCCCTTACTGGAGATGATAATCTTCTCTGGCAGTGCAGTGGGGTGGGGGGAATTTTAACAGCAATGGGCTGTAAAGGTAGAGGGCTGGAATATAGAATTAAGAAATGTTTCTATATTTGCAAATTATGTTTGCACACCTGTGAATATTTATGATTCAGGGAACCTGCATCCCTATTTGTTTGTTTACAGACTGCCCGATAACACAGTAGGCAACTTACTTTTTATTTACTCTTGTTTTTATATTGTATTACAAGAGCAAGAAAAATCCAAAAAACCCACAGCAAACAGAACAAGCCTATGCTGATGTGATAACCCTTGATGGCTGGGGTTAATGAGAACTGTAGTCCAAAGTAGCTAGAGTGCTTGAGGAAGGCTGAACTACACAATTTTAAAAACTAAACAGTAGAGGTTTACAACTCCATAGCATTAACAAATTAAAAACACATAGCAGAAGAATAAAAATGCACAGAGCTAAAGCAGTACTTAACTACCACAAAAATTAACAGGTCTGGGACAGCAGGAGTCTTTGCCTGGCATTTACCGGAGTGTTTCACTAATGAGTACAGACTTGGGGCTATAATCAAAACAAACATGTACCAGTTGTGGTTTTCCTGAAAGATCCTTCTTCGTACAGAATCTGGGTGGCCGACAATTAAGGCAAGAGTGGACCTTTCTCAGTTAAAATATATTAAAAGAATTGCCACTGTGCCTACTGAGTGTTTTCCTGCAATTGGGTGATAACCAACTCTGGAAAGCAGTGTGTCAAACTGTTTTAGACTATTACCATAATTGTTTTCCAAAACTGAGCTCTGCTTTGACCTTGAGTAAGTGTGTCAACTAAGGGATTGGCTCTTCTGGATAACTAGGAACACCAAAATTTCACCTTGGCACCCACTCCTGATAAAAGCATTTTAGTGTTAGTTATGCCTTTATTGAGCTACATTTCCAGACTTAGCTAGGTCACTCCCCATCACCTTTTCTACATGCAATCCTTGTCTTCAGGTACCTAATAATTTTGGAATTTTCACCACTTTGGAACTAACCTAAGTTTTTTTGCCTGTGTTTCCTGAATGCTGCATGGAAAAGCACATGAATCTGACCTTGGAAAAGTTTGTAAGTAAACTGTTTTTAACTTACCAAATATTTGGTCCTTTTCTGTGCTAGGGGAAGTAGGAAACTCTGGAAGAAACTTAGAGGGTGTCTTTTAAATGTCTAACAGCCTATATTTCCATGTTTTACTTTGCTGCATATTTTGTGATTTTTAAAATCTCTGCTGGGGTTCTTTCACCAAAGAGTACCTGCCCCAGATCTGGATCCTGGCATCTAGGAAATTCTCTTTTTATGTACCTATTTTCCCTTGCCAACCAACAGCCATGTGGTATGCCATCTTGCTGGAGCACTCACAGGAGCAACACCAGAACCAGTATCCTCTTTGCAAAAATTATTTATTGAAGAAATGCAGCCTAGGTGTGTTTATTGTGATTTTCCTGCCCAATCAAAATCCTCTAGTATGGTAAGTAGTGCACTGTGAGAATCATAGCCCTTGTTCTTCAAGTATGGCACAAGGAAGTTTACTGCATTTTTGTAGTGTGACAGTAACTAAATAAATAAGGAGTGTCTGTTGGTTCACTCTCATCTAGCAGCCACTCCTGTGTAGTGATGGGTTCATTCCCAGATCCTACTCCTAGAGTAACCTGATAAACCAGATGTGACTGGGTAGAAAAGATGACCATTCCAATTGGTTATATGGAGCAAGGTGTGTAAGCAGTATGCTGATGACACTCTGCCCTCCTTCTCTATTCCTCACATCTCTGAGGTGATAACAAGTCCAATTTGACCAATGTCTGGAATTATTAAGGGGCTGGAAAAAGGCCAGTCAACTGAAGCTGAATCCTGGTAAGACAGAAGCCCTGTGGGCAAGTTGCTCCCAAGTTTGGGGAACTGGCAAGTTGCCTGTTCCTTGATCAAGTTGCCCTCTCCCTGAAGGAGCAGGTATATAGTTTGAGAGTACTCCTAGATCTATCGCTGTCTCTGGAAGAACAGGTGTCCTCAGTGGCTAAGAGTGCTTTCTTCCAGCTGCCCAACCTCCCAGCATCTTCTTCCCATCATTGCATGGCAGGGGTGATTTGCACTGGAAACTGCCTTATTCTGAGTCTGGCCCATTGGTCCATCTCGCCCTGTTTTGTCTACACTGACTGGCAGCAGCTGTCCAGGGTTTCAGCCCTATCTGGAGATGCCAGGGATTGAAAGCAGATGTTCTACTGCTGAGCTATGGACGCTTCTCAACATGCAGAGCAGGCCTATGCAGGTTGACACAGAAGTGTGTTCAAGATTACAGCCTTAGTTATCCAGGGGGTTCAGAATGCTGTATGTATTTGAATAACACTTAAACTGTTGCAGATCCTCTCTTTAATTCAAGTGCAGTGCTTTGATCATACAAAACTTGTGCTTTGCTTTTTTAATTCCAGGATCCTTGCACAGTTTTTGGACCAGCTGCCCCTTGTTTATATTCTGTTTCTTTCTCACACATTCCTGCTGCGTAACCAGAATGGGAAGCAAAGTGAACTTTGGAAACACCGCAGAAGTTCCAGTCCATAACCTTCTGCTTCTGAGGGGGTCCTCTGGAAGTGAGTGGGGCTTCTTCGGAGTAAGACATTTCAGTGGCTAGCCGGGTAAGTAGTTATCTGCTGATCATAGAGCTAATTGTAACGCAGGAAACAATGTACCTACCGCACCACAAGCACGAAGTCACAAACCATGACATTATGCCGGTTTTACTCACAAGGGTTTTTATTATGCCAGGGTCACGTGTGTTGACGCTGGCAGAAGTACTCAGACTGAGAAATATTAGAAGTACTCTAGAGAAGGATATAAATTGCAGTTTATCTAGGATGAAAAGAAAGGTTTATTGCAAAATATGAAAACTTGGAGAGCACCTTAGATGCTCTCCAAGTTTACATACCTGACATTATTTACTATATAAATCTGCTGTGGAAGCATCTACATTCTCAACTGTGACAAGCAACGAACAAAAATAGAAAGAAAATACTGTAATGATGGGGACAACAACCCCGTCCTGTCCTGCCACAATATTTTCAGTTTTAGTTAGAATTGATGCAAATTTTGCTTAATATAGTGAAATGATCCATAAAATGATTAAATGTGTTTACACGCCCTCAAATAAATGAAGGTCTGTTTTCAGTAATTGTTAAATTATATCTTAACCAGTTATTCAGAAATGTGGGGAAGAACACTCAGCACAATCTAATACTGTATTCCAGTGAGGGAAGATGCACCAGCTGAGAATAGTATTCTGTATCCTAGAATCATTTAATACTTTTGCTAATGCCTGATATTCCCTGAGGCGAGAAGTTAAGTGGTTTACTATCGAGCCATCACAACTACAGTTAATAGTCAAAATTTATTTTTACTTTTTATAGAAAAATCTGATTGTACTGTTTGCTTTTCAGATGAGCCAACAAGGTCTAACTGTTTGACAAGATTATATTTGTGGGGGGAAAGTTTCTTTCTTGAGAATAAAGTGGAACAAAAACTTGACAAATTTATTGTTTTTATATATATATAGTTCAGACTGACCTGCAGTCATTCCTTTTAATCTTCAGCGAGGATGAATCCTCATTTAAAAATTTAGTCCGTATTCATCCCCACAGTGTTACAGGAAACTACTGACTTTATGCAATCTGCAACAATTAAGGCTGCCTGCTGTTAAGAGCCCTGTAGTGAGAAAGTCAAAGAATGTACTCACCAGTCATCAGTGTGTAATAGTTTGGATAGGAAAGACTGGGGAAGTCTGGTGTCAGGTAATCCACTTTCACCCCCCTGTTCACAATCTCTCTGAAGCCAGGCAAGGATTCCAGCGCTTCATCGCTGATATAATCGTGGCGAAGCCCATCAATCAAGAACAGCAGGAGCTTTTTTCGGCTTGCAAGGGATGAGCTTGCCAGGGTGAGGACAAGCAGGAGAAAGGGGGCCATGTGCTTTGCCATGTTGCTGGGTGGAGAGGAGCTTTGGCAGAGCCCTGTCAGCACCGCCTGTCCCTGTGCAGTAACTCTCAATGAGGCATCTGAAGCTGCTCTGAAGGGCTGGACCTCACACTGCTTGCTCTCATTTTGCTGGTTTGATTCCAGAGTTTAAAGGTACAGCAGCAGTAACTGGAATTGCCAGACTTAAAAAGTTACAGGATAACTGCTATAACACGGTGGACTTTGCATTCTGATGTAGTGTAGCAGGATGCTGTGGGCTGCATTCTGGTACCGTGCTCTGACTATAGAAATAAATGTTGCATTGAAGCAACAAAAACCTAGTTCTCAGTGTTAGCTCTAGTGGCGCTTCCAAGACACTCAAAAGGTTAACACAGGAACAATGCAACTTCTCGGTTCCCACATGTCAGGCTTTTCAGGGCACTCAAAACAAACTGGATGAATCTGAGAACAAAAACATAATGAATTTTTCAGATCTTAAACCTTTTCTTTAAAGCCAGTGAGTCGATATAATTTTAAAGTATGAGGAGTGCACTTTTTATTTCTGTTTTTGACTCGTACATTAGTTTCACCAGATTTTGGCACAGTATTGGGTATTTGCAAATTTACAGAGGCATTTGACATCCAGGCTTGAAATTTTTCACATATGTTAGTGACTTCCTATATTTATAGTCTATTTATATTTATATTATAGTCTAGGTAAGTTGGTCCCTTATCTTTCCCACCCCAATTTGGCCACAGTGATCCATGCAACTGTCACCTCCAGGCTTGACTACTGTAATTCGCTCTATGCAGGACTGCCCTTGAAACTGTCCCAAAAACTCCAGAGGATGCAGAATGCTGCAGCGAGGCTCCTCACGGGTCCCTGCCATGGGAGCATATTCACCCAGTGCTTTACCAGTTGCACTGGTTCCCGGTGGAGTATAGGGTCAGGTTCAAGGTGCTGGTTTTGACCTTTAAAACCCTTTGTGGCTTAGGGCCCTCGTATTTATGGGACCGCGTCTCCTGGTATGACCCGCGGAGGACCTTAAGGTCCATGAATAACCTTGGTCCTGGGGCCTAAGGAAGTCAGACTATCCTCCACAGGGCCAGGGCCTTTTCAGTGATGGCTCCAACCTGGTGGAATGCTCTGTCCCATGAGACTTGGGCCCTGCAGGATTTAATCTCCTTTTGCTGTACCTGTAAGACAGAGCTGTTCCACCTGGCCTTTTATTTGAATTCAGCCTGATCTTTTATTTCCCTTCTCTTCCTTCCCCCTCCCATTTTATAAAGATTACCTGCTCTGAGACCCCACAGCTAATTCTCCCCCTGGCCTCCTCACTGGCCCAAGTAGGACTAATTCAGCCAGGTAGCCCTGGTGACTATCTAATGTTTATTAGATGGATTTTCCCCAAATTGATTTCTGAACTTTGAATTTTATTGTTATTCATGTTTTTATACTGTATTTTATGCTGCGTCTACAATTAAGTGTTTTAAATTTGTTGTTAGCCACCCTGAGCCCGGTTTTCTGAACCGGGAAGGGCGGGGTATAAATAAATAATTATTACAGTGGTACCTCAGGTTAAGTACTTAATTCGTTCCAGAGGTCCGTACTTAACCTGAAACTCTTCTTAACCTGAAGCACCACTTTAGCTAATGGAGCCTCCTGCTGCTGCTGCGCCGCCGGAGCACGATTTTTGTTCTCATGCTGAAGCAAAGTTCTTAACCTGAAGCACTATTTCTGGGTTAGCGGAGTGTGTAACCTGAAGCGTATGTAACCTGAGGTACCACTGTAGTATTATGTGAGGAAAGTCGCTGCCAGACTTCTGACATACCTCTTTGCATTTTACTGTTCTCTTCCTGCTGTGCTGTCACGCACATACACATCAATTATACGTTATAAGTAAACAGAAAGGCAACTTGTGTGGAGGAATGTAGGCGACAGTTCAAGGGAGCAACAGGGCACTGATCGTCTAGGATGCGATGCTTTTTTTGACTCCTTTGCTTTGGGTATTTACTGTATGGCCCTGTAACTAAAGATGTGTGCAGGTGTCACACATTTTGGGGTGAGGACTCCTGTAATCCTTTGCTGATTGGGAAGAGAGACGTTATCTATCAAGTTGTGCCTTTGCTGTTACAGAAAAAAACTATTTTACAAGCATGAAAGCCACAGATTGTGTCCCCTGGCGAAACTCAATTTCCCCTCTGCATTAGTGCTGACACAACACAGTGTATAATTGTACTAATGAATAAAGCCTGTAACATCAGTGTTGAATAACTTGCACCACTCCTCATACGACTAGCAAGCTTTGAAACTGTTCTCTGTTTTTAAAATCATGTTAAGACATAGAGTTGGACTTGCCTGGGTTCTAATAGCAGCAAGATAGAGGGGGGATTAGCCTGTGCATTTTTCCTTGGCGCTGCAGCACTGTGATGGAAGAAATCGTGCCTGCTCGGTTTCTGTGTAGCTATTAAATGCATGTGATCTTTCTTTGAAAAGGAGCTGGCATCCTTATGGATGGGTTTGCGCAACTTTGTTTCTTCTAAAGTAAAATGACTTTGAAAGTCACCTCTGTTTGATTTATAGTGCTAAGCTCCGTATCACTCTCTCCCATCAGCTTGATAAAAAACATGTCACCTCAGAAAGCCACCCTGTTGCAGATGTTGATAATGCAATAGACTCTAGAGATCCAGAGGGCAGCAACATGAGAGCAGGCCTTTTCTGTGGTGGCTCTCCATTTGTGAAACGCTCTCCCCAGGGAGGCTTGCCTGGTTCCTTCATTACATATCCTTAGGTGCCAGGCAGAAGCATAGATCTGTAACAAGGCCTTTGGCTTATTGAGCATTTTGTGGCCTTTTAAATGTGTTTGTGGGACAGGGGTTATTAGTATGCTTTGGTTCTTGGTTTATTAAGTAATTTGTGTTCTATTTTTTATTTTTGTGTTTGTGTGAACCGCCCTGTGTTCTTCAGATGAAGGGTGGTATAGAAAAAATAATAATAATAATTAATAATAATTTATTGTGTCATGAAATAAATAATGTATGTGAAACACTTTGAGCACTTGAGAAAAAGAGCTATATAAGTAGCATGCATATTATTATTATTATTCTGATTTTGTTTCAGTCTGGCTGAGTTAAGAAATCCTCTTGGTAAAAAGCAGCTCTTTATTTCTTGAGCGGTCTTTGAGCCAAGTGAAAGGCCAGAACATATTGAATGTGGTTGGAGGCTGGCCAATGCAAAGTCCCAGAATCCAGAAAAGAGACAAAACTAAGAATCTTGCAGCCAAGAAGTTAGATTTGGCAGAAATAAAGTTTGGGGAAATAAAAGTGTCGAAGCCAGCACAGCAAACAGCAGACTGGTGGGGTCAGAGCTGCACCACCATTAAAGTATGGGGTTAGGGCAACTTGTAATGAAAAACAAGAGCAAGGTCAGGGGCCAGAATGGGATGCTTATGTGTTTTATTGGCAGCGTCCTGCTTTCTCAAATGCTTAAAACAGCATTCTTGGGCTGATGAAGGCAGTCCAAGCCTTCTGCAGCCACCTGCAGTCTCCAATCACCACACAGATTCAGTGAGTGGCACCTGCAAGCTGTGCTCAGACTTTTGTTTTTGTGGAGTGATGCAAGTGATTCTCCCCATTGCAACAGCACCGATACAACCTGGATAGCTTGATAATGGTGCAAGGAGAATGGA